GATCACTAGTGAATCTATAATTCATACAAAAAGGTTTGTTAAATCAATAAGATATATTAAAAAATAATTTGGCCTCCTCTATGAAATAAAGATCATAATTATCATCTCATGAACCTGTCAGGAGGATTAGAGAAGATAATGAATGTGAGCACATTGCAACAGCTCAATAAAAGTTAATTCTTTCCCCCATGGGTTCCTTCATCTCAGGATAGCTTAGAGCCAAATGGAAGAGTCCTGGGCTAAACAATCTGTGGATGGGAAAAGGAAGAGTGGTGCTACAGTTTGGATCTTAATTGTTCCCCATAGGGCCACAAGTTGAGACTTGGTTCCCAGACCATGGGACTATTTAGTAAATAGTGGAAGCCTTGGGAGGCGGGGCCTAGTGGGAGGAAGTTAGGTCATTGGGAGCATTGAAGGGGATATTGGGATTCCAAGTCCCTCCTTTCTCTCTTTTCCTTCCCTGCTGCCAGGAAGTGAACAGGTCTCCTCTGTTACATGCTCCCACTATGATATATGCTATGTTGCAATAGAGCCAAGCAACCATAATCTGAAACCATAAGATTAAAAACCAACAACAATAAAAAAAAAAAAAAAACACTTTTACAGTTGATTATCTGGGGTATTTTGTTACATAATGGAAAGTTGACTAATACAAATAGTAAAGATACTCTGGGGGAAATGGCAATATGTCAGCCAATACAGGTAAGGAGCAGAAACTTGAGGGGACCTGATGACTCCCCTTATTCTGACCATATGATCATGAGGATTGCCAATCACAGAAGACTGAGAAAATGCGTTCTACTCCCAAGTCATGTTATTGGATGAGCACAGATGACTGATTACTTGCCCAGACTTACGAGTCACATTAGACCTGACAGTGTATCCTGACTCCACTGATTGTTAGCTGTGAGACCCTTGGGAAGGAACTAGACCTCTCTGAGACTTAGTCTCCTCATCTGTAAAATAATAATAATAAGTTGCCCCAAAGTATCATAAGGAACAAGAGAGCTGAATAGAAAAAGAACTTAACACAATGTCTTATCCAGTGCTTTGCAGCTGAGGGTTTTCCTATTTCCAAAATAATTATGTCATCATAGGATCATAAGATGAGATAATTATTTTGGAAACAGAAAAATTATATATATATATAATTTTCTGTTATATATATAATATATTCTATAATATATATACACATACACACACATATATGATATGGATATATAATATATAATATTTATTTATTTACACTTGCTATGTGACTACTATGTTACAAATCATTTAAACTTGGATTATTTCCAGTTCTTACAGCAATGCTGGGGGTGGGGAGCTGGAGGGACAAATACCCTCATTTTACAGATGGAGAGATTGTAGCTCAGAGAGGTGAAGTGGCTTTCCTGAAAACACACAGTGAATATGTGACTGAGCACAAATTGAAACTGACTCATCCAAACATTAAATCCTGTGCTCTTTACACCAGGCTGAGATGGCTACTCCTACAGGCACTGTGTCCCAGAGTGAGACAAAGGAGAGAAAGCAAGGCAACCTCGGAGGTCTCCAAACCTCCCTATTTTGAATAAATCCCCCAATTATGCTTGAAGTTAGACCAGCTTTTGAAAACTCAACTGCACATTCTTTTCCCATCAAGTTCCTTGAAATTTCCCTTTAAAGAGCATCTAGGAAAAGCCATTCTCATTAGCCAGGGTCTGACTTTATTTTCCTAATAAACAGAACTTTGGTTAGACAAAAGGGCCTCTTTTATTTTCAATCAATTCTTGAATGTTTCAGCTGATTTTCTTCTATTTGGCTTGAAATAGTGATCTGGGAAAGGCTGGTCCTGCAAATTGTCCTCCTATAAGGGAAGCCCCTTGAGGATCCTCAACTTGTTATTTTTAATCACTGTAATCTCCTTTCAAAGGAGGCCCTGGTCAGAAACAGAGCAGGCCTTTCAGAGCTTTCTAAAGCACAATTATTGCTGGAGGTGGTGGTTGGTGGTAGGGGGAAGAGAGAGGGAGGGAGGGGGAGAGAGAAGTGGTGGGGGAGAAAAGGAAGTCAATATAATACTAACAACTAACTAAAAGGCTGAATAACAATCTCAACTAGGCCCAGGCTGTGGGGAAGAAACCTCATGATTCAATTTTTTAAAAATGACCATTTTATTCCAGTTCAGAATACCTAACAGCAGTACTCACATCAGGGTTATTACTTGGGGATGAACTGGAATACAGAAGAAAAGAAGTTATTGATCCCAAGGATTGTAAGGGATCCCAATTCAGGAAAAAAAAAAAAAAAAACTAAAGTAAATAGAAAAAAAGGGGAATGTGAACTTCCACAACTCTAAGGCAATGCACCGGGCAAAGTGCATTAGGTTTACTTTCAACATAATTATCCTAAGAAAGACTAAGCCCACAGAAAATGTCACAAACTAGGTCAGTGCCCTTTCTTCGAAACTTTGAGTGGCAGAACAAGATTTTTTAGTTGCAGAATATTTACACAGGAGACCTTAGCATGGTTTCTGAAAGATCTTTCCTTCAAGATCTCTTAGCCACAAGAAAGGAGAAAAGATTATCACCCTACCTACAACCTCTTTGCTTGTCCCTTGGAGCTGGGTCAGTTTCCAAAAACCTAATGATTTAGGCTGGAAAGTCCAGGGCCCTCCCCTTCCAGTCCCAGTTCCTCCCAGTTGGGCCTGGGGAAAATTCTCTGGTCTTGTCAATATGGGATGTGCTGGGACCACTGATCCAACACTCAGGCAAACATGAAGCATTAGTGTGGGGAAGAGATGCCAGGAGGACACTTGGCCAGAGTCCCAGACTGACCTAAATCATACCACTCAAAATCTTCCTGGACTTAAATTAGGAACAGTCTTTGACAGGCTCTTAGTATGGAGAAATCAAATCATCACACATCCAATTAGTTCATGAGGACCCAGATAATGGCCATTCATTGTTAGATTGACTTGACTTGGAGCAGTACTAAGGAAGTCTCTCTCTCTCTCTCTCTCTCTCTCTCTCTCTCTCTCTCACACACACACACACCACACACACACACACACACACACACACACACACACACACCCCTCTGACCAGGCACATACCTTATTAAACCAGTAAAGTCCTCAATCCAACTTGAACTAAAGTGTATTGGGGACCCGTTCTCTCTGACACACTGACCTTGGTAAGCTCATTTACTCTCTACAACCACCCAGAGAAGTTAGGTAAATGGCTATTTTTACAGCTGGGAAATGGGCTCGGAGAAATTAAATTACTTGCACAGGTCATACAGGTGCTAAAACCTCCCCCTCCCCATCAATTGTCTCCTCACCCTCTTTGCTTGCCTGTTGGAGCTGGGTCAGTTCCCTAGTGAACTCTGGCCCTGGGTTTGGGGGAAGACGGGAGAGGCCTTTGAGATTACCGCTGCTTCTCTCCTGTAGGCTGAGAGAACTGGCTACCTCCCGCCTCTGCCCGGTGATTGTCCCCACAAATCGATTCAATTCCCCCTTGACGCCGCTGTAACCCGCACGCTCCCTCCCCGGATGAGCAGATGGGCGGATGGGCACGGTGCTCTCCACACATCTTTCTTCTTGGGGTATCAAGACCCCGCGGACGCGCGGGGAGCCTGGAGCCGACCCCATAGCTCCGAAAGTCGGGTACGCGAAACCGGAGGAAAAGGGTGGCCCCTGGTTCTGTCCTGCGCTGCGCGTGGATGACTGGTTGTCCGCTGACATGGTCCCAAACTTTCTCTCTTGTTGCTCCCCCCTCTTTCTCCTGAGGCTCCAGGGACCCCGGAAGGCGGGAATGGAAGGGATATGACTGGGAACCCATTTGTCCCTCAGGTGCCCCAATGACCCGTTCTTCTCTGCTTGGTACTGGAGTTGACTTATGAGGGGGCGGAGTTGAGGGGACTCGCGCCCTGGCGGGACACTAGGTAAGGCTAAGCAGGCTTCCTTCCCTGACTGATGTCCTGTGTCCCACCCTAAAAGCAGCAGCGGGGGAAGAGGTGTTTGGGGGAGACGTTTAGCTGAGGAGGGAAGCAGTGGGCGCTGGGAATGGAGTTAAGGGTCTTGGGGTCGATGCCAGGCCAGCTGCCTATCCTACCCTGGAGATGCTCACCTGTTTGGATACCCTCCTCCTGTGCTCCGGAAAACCTGTTCTTAGCTGATCAGCGTAGGTGCGACATCTCGGTGGCGCCAAGCCTCCTGGCTGCAGGAGACAAAGTCCCACAGCCTCCAGGGAGCAGGCCTGGACTATAAGCTATCGAGGCTCCCCTTTCGGTCTTTATCGATTTCCCCTCCCGTTGGGAGCTATTCTGGGTTCTTTGGGGACCCGTTCTCACTGGGAACCCGTCCTGGAAATCCAAGGTCCTTTCTATCGCTTGGGACCATGGAAGAATAATCTGGGCATCTTCGTAGGGACCCTTTCGAAGAGCTTCAGGCTTCTTCCCTTCTCCTCGCGCCCAGGGACGGGTTAGTGAGAAGCCGAAGTCTCTTCTCCGGAACAGATCTATCCAGGGAAGCCCGAGTGACCCTCCTGCTCTGAGGGGTCTGCTAGAAACTGGTACCCTTTCTTTAAGGAATGGAAGCGGAAAACACTGCCTTGCTTGTGACTCGACTGAGAGAAGACAGGGTCCCCTCCTCTCCAGAGACCGATCTGGAAAAAGTCAAGTCTACTTCCCTCCTGACGACCGCTAGGGTTGGAGCGGGGCTCCCTCACAGTCAGGCCGGTGTGACGCGTGGCTCAGCTACAGCCCCTGCCTGGGAAACGCGCCCTTGGGATCCAGGCTGCTTTGCCTGGCTGCGACTCCAGCGACGGCCCCGGACGTTGGCTAGCAATTCGCGCAGAGTGCTCGGCTCAATGGGCTGAGGGCAGCCAAGGCAGAAGGGCCCGTGCGGGGCAGCGCCGGCTCTGTGCGCCCAGGGACCGCGCGCCCTCCTCTGGCACCGCACGATCGGTGCCCTCCAGGGGCCAGGTCCCGTGCCCTCATCGCCACGCCAGGCCACTTACCGCGGTAGCTGCTTCCTGGCTTGTAGAAGTCGGGGTCACCCTCCACGCGGAGGCTGAACTCGGTGTAGCCCTCGCGCCGTGTGCCCTGGGCACGCAAGATGCGGCTGCAGTAGCCCTCCGACTTGGCCACTTTGTCCAGGGTCTCGTCGGAGAAGGCCAGCGCCAAGGCCAGGGGCAGAGCCAGGGCCAGCAGCGCCGGACTCCAGCTTAGCCTCAGGGGCGCAGGAGGCAGCCTCATCCTCGCGGGTCCCCAACTTTGTGCTGTGTCGCCGGCTCTCACCAAGCGACTGCTGCCTGAAGTGGTCCCGGCAGAAGCGATACCTGGAAGAGCCCAGGCGGAGGAAAGGAGCTCTGAGCAGCTCTGGCGACTCGGAGACTGTGCCCGCCTCGGTTTGGCGGCTGCCGAGCTGCGCTGCGCTGAGCTGAGCAGAGCGAGCCAGCAGCGCGAGGAGGAGAGGGCGGCGGCGAAGGAGCGGGAGGAGGGAGGGCTGATTTTGCCCAGATCCCCCAACGCAGCGCTGTTTTGTTTCCGAGCCGGCGATTAGCGGAGCGGGGGTGTTTATTTTGCGACACTGGATTCCCAGGGTCTGGAGGGGAAATTATAGGCGACTGGGACACTGCGGGCTCTCTCCACCACCAGAGAGGCTGCTGCCCCAACCCCCGACTGCACTCTGGGACCCGTGGACCACCGCGCTCCGAGGAGGGAAAGCCTGAGAACTAACTTTTGTTGCACACCTACTTTGCACACCTACTATGCTGAGCGGTTTACTTGTGGTGTCAGCTCACGGTCTCCACTCTCACCGCACACAATGAACAAACACTACATTACTTTCACTCATTTTATAGACAAGCAGATGGAGGTAGACAGGGTTAGAAGCGTGAGTTTCTGGCTCCATCGCGCTTCCCATAGGCATATTGGAACAGGTCGGACTGGAAGATGAGAAAGGAGCCAGAGAACTTATTCTCTGAGCTCAGCAGGCACAGTGCCTAGGGCCACAATTCGTTTAGAGATCTATGCTTTTTCTTTAAAAGCAGTAGAGAAAAACATTTAGGTTGAAGAAAATGTTTTACTATATATATATTCATTTTTATATCCAAACAGCCAAAATATGTTTAATATTGTTTTGTGAAGAATGGAACCTTCCAATACAAAAGTGCCTAAGGACTAGGAAGGTCCTCATCCAGATCTGGAAAGGAGTTTTGAAAGAGTCAAAGAAGAGCTTGTGTGTTCTTGGCTTAGATTTTAGTTCAAGTTTGCTGTACCCAGGAACAGGTGTTTGGAGATGTGCTGAGTATGAAAATTCACTGGGCACAGCCCTACAAAACAACCAGAGGGTTGGAGGGAAGAAGAACCCAGGCAGGAAGCTCTCCCAGTGTCTCCCTGGGGAGAGACCTGAGTCAAGCCTAGGTCCTGCCAATCCAGAGCAGGGAGGTGGGGATAGATGCTACTATACCCTTCCTGGGGTAGTGCACTAAAATTCAACGAAATTCCTTTTATGAAACAGTTGACCTTCAGCACTCCCCTCCTTGGGGACACATTTTGCCTCCTACCTCTCCTCAGTGCACATAAGCATCCCCAGATGTTTTCAGAAGCTCCCTGTACCCCTTGCTTCCTTGGGACCTTCAAAACACCCCCAGTGCCTCAATCTCCTTTGCTTTCCAGATCAGGGTTTTCTCTTTCACATTACTTCAGTCTGTGGAAATCCTCTGCCTTGAAGGTCCTCCCACCTGCTCCTTAGTCCTCATGCTTGTGACTCCCATTTTCACTGCTAACTGGGCACTATCTTCCAAGAATCACCTAAGAGTAACCCCTTGACAAAACCTATACTACTCCTTTGTAAGCACTGAGGGCAAAGACTGAGAACTGACTTCAGCAGCCTCCGATCCAGTTGACCAACCCTCCTTCACAGAGGTGACACTCAGATCCACACTGTGTCCTGAGTGAGATACCTTCATCTCCACTCTACGGACTCAGCGCTCATGCCTGACCCCATGTTGCGTCTCTACTCCCAATCACTCAGCAAGCTTTCATAGCATTTAGATTTGGAGCCAGGCTCTGTACTGAATGGTAGACACAGAAGAGAACAAAAATTCATTCATTCATTCATTCACTTATGCATATTGAAGGCTCTCCATGTGCTCAGTGCCAAGATGTATCTTTGTGGATCTTACAGTCCTATGGCGAAGTGAATATTAAAAATACAATCATAAATTTTTTTCAAGTTGTAATTATGATATGTGTTGGTAAACTAAGTCCTTCAAGACAGTGTTTCTGATCGTATTTCACAGTGTAGGAAATTATAGAAAATAAAATCTAACTTTTATCATCTTGGAGCTTATTGCATATCCTATAGCTTAAATATGTGTGCTCTTGAATATCTTTTCATTTACATCAATGCATCCAAATTTAAATTGGAGGTGGGCCAGCATGGGACAGGCAGGGACATAATATTTAATTTTTTATTGGACACTGACAATAAAACTATGTGAAGTAGGTGGATTTATTCCACCACCATCACTATTCCTTCACCCCATTTCCTAGATTAGGGACCTATAAAATTACCTATCTAGGTAATGTACCATGCTAGTAAGGGAAGAGAGCCAGGACTTAAAATAGGCCTTTCCAGTATCAAGCTGGGGGTATTTTCATTACCCAGTGTTGGCCCTCTCATCTGGGTTATGACAGCAGCTCCAATCAGCACACTAAATGCTAACCTCACTACATGAACTAGATTTCCCTGTCCCAACCTGGCTGCCACTTCCAACTTCTGCTCTCTCTTCCACACATCTGATCCATCACCCCGTCATCAGTCTCACCTTTCAACTACCTCTTGAATCTGTCTGCTTCTTTCCCCCTTCTCTGCCAATCACCCAGGCCAAGTTGTCATCCTCTCTCAGTCTCCTAATTGGTCTGCCCCAACTATTCTTCTAATCTATCCATCCTCTGACAGAAGCCCAAGGGAATCTTTTTTACAATGCAGATTAGAATGTCAATCCTGAGGTTAAAACCTTTTACAGTGACTTTCAGGGATCCCAGAATAAAGATAGACTCTTTAATGTGAACTCCAGGGTCCTGCTTGATCTGCCTCTCAAGCCAGGTGCCTCTTCTCTCATGAGTTCCAGCTACTGCTGCTTTTCAACTTTGGAAGATTTTGCCTGTAAGCTTCTCTCTGCCTGGGGTCCTGCAATGCTGGTTAGTTTCTCCAGCCCACTGCCCTCCTCTGGCTGAACAGGATGCATCCTTCAGATCTCAGTGCAAAGCCAATTTCTTAGAGAAGCCCTTCCTGATTTTGTGGAATAGACCCTACCATTAATGCTCTACTGGAACCCAGTACTTTTTCTTTTAATAGCCTCAAGATTTATATTTTTGTATTCATTTGTCTGTTGGATTTCTAAATTTTATGTTTATTTAGTGTCTGTCTCCATTGATAATTCTATGCTGCACCAGGGCGGGAACATCAAAGTCTCACCACTCTGTGCTCCATGGTCTTAGTAGTACCTGACTCAGGGTGCAGATCTACAAGTACTTGTTCTCTGGACATAGTCTTTTAACAAGTTCAGTCCAAGTTTTTCATGTTGGCCTTCAAAGTCCTCCATAACTGATCTCACTGTACCCATCGGGTCATAGATCCCAGTCTGAATTTCCAGTATAGCCCAGCTAGGTCGTCTTGGTCCCATGCTTATCAATGTTGCCTTAACACCTTTGCTTAGAGCTTTCCTCGTGCCTAGAATTCCTTTTACCCTCCTGCCTGTTTAAACTCTCCTTTGTGGAACAAAGTCCTGCAGTCTCTCCTCCTCTAGACTGGAATTGAGCTCAGGAGGAGAAAAAGTTTCTTATTTTGACTATTAGTGTGCCACTGGGTTGTCACGAACCGTTTCTTGTGTCCATGTCTCATATCCTAGCAATGAATCCAGTTTGTTTTCTGTTTAATTTCCTGTTCAGATGTTTTGTTCTGCTGTAAAATACACTGGACTTCAAGAAATCTCTTTCCAGTTTTGTAGCCTAAGGCAGAGCTGATGTTAGTTGCTAGGGTGTTGCTAGGGAAAGTCATTTAGCCAGGGCAGATAATTAACTTTATCAGTGTGTGTGGGTAGGTTGCTGAAAAGAAGAGCTGGGGGCTCCATTTCTCCAAGAAAAAGAAAAATTCCTTGGATTGGTAGGAGGTAAGGTAAGCCATTTCTTGTTTTGTTTTCTTCCCTTTAAGAAACAAGGAAAAAAGCCTTTTCTACATTAGTTTTTTTCTGAGGATGTTCATCAGATGTTTGCTTCAAATGTGGATTCCAAAAACCTCACCTCAGACCCCCGAATGTGCACTTTGAACAAACTCCCATAAAGTTTAAGGAATCACTGTCCTAGAGTCTGTGATTCATCCTTAAAGTTCAGGGGCCCCTGTTTGGCTGTGTAGAGCTGGGATGTCCTGGGAAGCCACATGATCTGTCTAAACTGCTTATGGGCAAAATTGGGAAAGGAAGTACCCATCTTCCCTATCTCCTGGAGTTTTGACAAATAAATAACCGCTATAATAATTTGTAAACTTCAAAGTAATTCACCAAAATAAAAAACAACCTGTGGTTATTGTTGTTACTCTTATTTTACTTATTTAGACAAGTCTCCAGAAATGCTGCATCTAGAAAGGATTTCTAGGAAAACAAAGCAGATAGTCAATGAAGGAAGTTGAATTGCCCTGAACAATCTATTGGCAATCTGTCATGAGGAGAAGTCCAGAAGCTCTCTGCAAGAGAGCTAGCAAGTTTTGAGACTAAGCTATGGAAGATGAATATAAAGAATTATTTTAAAATTTAAAAGCAAAAGATATTAATTTAGTTTAAAACACACTTCTTCAGCACCTGCTGTGTTCTAGGCATTGACCAAGTCAGGTATGATTCTAAAGTGGAACAGGTCCAACCTGCAATTCAACTCAAGGGGGGAGAGCCTTGTCACCTAGTTTTTGCAGTCCTTTGGTCTCTGTTCGGTTTTGCACTTCCCTCAGCTCCCTGGAGCTTTCCTCTATCTGTTTTCTATTGTCAGATCCAGATCAGTATTCTAGAATATTCTTCAAGAGCCCCTCTTATTTTAAAACTCACTGCACCCAATCTGTACTTCCTCATTTTATTTCTACCATCTAGAGCCTCCAGGTCACTATCTTGCAGCCAGAGAGGACTCTGCAACTGGCTCCCTAGCTGGCTGCCCATCTTGACACATGTTACAGGCCTGGGAGACTAGGAAGTCTGAGCTGATGATCCAGCCATTGCTCTAACCTCCTCTATTCAATGAGCTTGGCCTCCCTCCATATCAGCAACCCTCTCTCACAGAATTCCCTTGGCTTTGGAAATCTTGAGTGCTGAGCAGCCCTTCCTCATTCTACTTTCCCTTCTCCCAATTCCTCACCCCCTTGAATCCACTCTTTTTGGTTATTAAGGCCTGTAGTTGCTCAGCTTAATCGCTTCTGATTTTCCCAAGAGTCAGTTCCTCCCCCCACCCCATCTGGATCCCATGCTTAACTATTTTAACCATATCTTCAGCAACACTCTTCCTTATCTCTCCCCTTTTATTTCTGTGCCTCTTCTCTAACTAATCCCCAGCTCAAGA